GGATACGAACGTTACGTTTCCGGACTAAGACTGTGCTCACTTTTACGAGATAAACTGCCATTCTACATACAGCTTCAAGGAATAATTGAATTGGAATTTTGCGAGTGAAATCCTGTTTAATACATTTTTAGGCAATTCAGTCCAATAAAATTGATGTTTGTGATGGATGCAAAAATTCTAAACATGGTTTTATAGTTTAATTCATTTTCAACCTAACAATCGCTCAAAATGTGTAAAATGCATTTGTTGGCCTCASYSCWKTCTGYRRWATKTYTSRTKCTMTYTTAGTCWTTYYCTSRCGGTTTACGATCTTGCTGRGTTTTCTATTGTAGGGCCYTGAAAAAATATGRATAAAAAATTRAAAWMYAACTTTTTTGATGYCATTGAATWCAGTAGTTCACAGAGCACCTATATGTTATCATCAAAAGTTTGCAGTTTTTTCAAASCTWATTTGAATCAAACCCGCCATGAAAGTTAATACATTTTCTATTTGAAAAACCCTGTAAACTGTTTTTAGAGCATTTGAAATGGAATGCGTCAAAGCGTTTTCGTTCGTTAACATTTTGCAGTGTAGAGAGGGCATAAAGCTAATTTAAATTTAGATTTTTCAACATTGCAGACGTTGAATAAAATTGGCTGGCATTCAGTTCCGCTATCCATATTTCCGCGCAAGAAAAAGCAAACTCCGATTCGATCGTCGTTCGTTTCGTCGACAAAACATGCAAATAAGTTTCAATTTAGAAAACTATTTGTCCGCCTGCCGAAAAATCTCGACTTTAATTTCATTCCAGCGTCTACCTGGAGAACGTTGAAAAACTACGTGACTTCATTATCGGCTCAGGGGGAGTGATATTTACGCCACATGTTGTGCCTCAAATTTGCATTTTCCGATGGTAACAGCTTCTTGCCTTTTCCGTCGCTCGAAGGTGTATAAAGTAAGGGGGAACACGTTATTGCAGTAGGGGAAAATTAGACCTGCCGTTAGATTTATACATTTTGATAAAAAGACGGAATAATGTTTTATTTCTCTCCGGGAAAACGTGCCAGGCGGTGAAAGTGGAAAAGTCACTCAGAAATCATTTTATTGGCATTAAGGGTCTTTAAAACTTATTTTACTACACCTTTAGATTCACCTAAAGTGCAGCGCAATTTTGATGTGTTTTTAACCATTTTCCTTTTGTTTTGTTTTGAGGCTTTTCCAGCCAACCTACTTTACATTGCCCTTCACTTTGTAGACGATTCTTTACACTT